AGTAGAGTCATTTAAAAAAGAAAAAAAAAAAGAAAACTGAAACAAACTTTCAAACACTTTAACCCCTTCCCCCACTCACCCCGCCCCCACAATTTTTTGTCAGATAAACGGTGGTTGCACGCAGCTTTTCGATTGGCCAATGGCGTGAGAAGGAGATGATGCGCGCGAGGCGGATCGTTGCGTCGGAAACCGATGATTAAGGCCCTTGCACACTTATACGACCTCCTTCGGATTCTGTCCGATCTGCAGAATACCGAACATTATTATTTTAGAATGTTTTACTTTCTACTGTCAACACAGCTGGGATAATTCTAAGGGCGGGCGAGTGGTTAGCGAGTGGTTAGCGAGTGGTTAGCGAGTGGTTAGCGAGTGGTTAGCGAGTGGTTAGCGAGTGGTTAGCGAGTGGTTAGCGAGTGCTCTGGTGTGCTTTGCTGCTCCTTTCCCCTTTAACATCTAACGACTTTAGGCTTATCAAATCTTCCTTCTTTTCTGTGTCTGTTACTTTCTTGTAACACCTCTAATCATCGGCACTAGTAAGACAGAATTATGTTGCAAGAGCTGTGAAACTATCCCACTGAAACAAACATCTGAGGGCGGACCGCTGCAACACTGAATGTCAAGGTCGACCCGGGCTGATACAGCAGGCAGACAGAAATATGATAAAATAACTTCTCCATGAAGTATCATGAAGTAATTGTACTCATGTCTTCTGTGTACTGAGGCAAGGAGCCCTACCATTTGTCTACAGACGTCGGCAAAAACCGGACTTTTCAAATGTAAGTGTTTTTACGCCTTGACCGACACAGTTTAGATCATTAAGGAAGTTGGCCTTGACCCTGTCGGCCAGGGCCAGCCAGCCTGAGAGAGGTGCAGCTTTCTAGCAGAAAGACCGAGATACTCGATAAAAATGTCTCCTCACACGGGAATCAAACTCATGACGTCTTCTGCGTGTGATTGTGAACCATCTAACCGCTACACCATGAACACCGGTGAAGATGACCTAATTTCCCTCCGGTGGTTCGGTGGGAATCGATAGACCTAGATTCTAAATCCAACGTGTAACTTTTTCCGGGTCAAATCAAATCCGACATGGTGAAAAATTATAACTGACCAGACGACAAAAATTTGGCTCAATAAAAGAGGCACATAGTATTACATTTTTTTTCTTCAATGACGGCCATGTTATCTGAAGAAAGTCTTCTTGAGCACTCCAATATCCATTCCAATTGATAGTTAGGTGTCAAGTTCAAATGTGCACCGTTGGCTCAAAACTCTTTTGGACCTTTTGTGCGAGAGACAGTAGCATATGAGTACACGTCTTCTGTGATCCCAGTAAGATCAGCAGAACGTTTTGGAAACGAACTTCAAAGACCCCAACATTTCAGGCCAATTATCTTAAACGGTTGGGCGGGGACTCGTTTTAGAATAATATATTGGTCTGAAGGGTCTCACATCAAGAAACTTTGTAAGGGAGAGCTTTCAGATTGCTTAATGTTGTCCTGTTTGCACAACGTGTATGTTCGCATTCATATCTAGTTGACACCACTCGAATTTCAGTGGCCATGCACTATTGAGAAGGTTTTTTAGAGTGAAAGGTATGAGTCTGCACTAAAATCTCACTCAAAAGAAATTCTGCAAAGTTACAGACAGTCGGTATCATGGGCATACTGTTAAAAGTTAACAAAAGCTTCTGTGTATAAGAAAATTAAATGTAGACTATAGGAACAAAAGCGCACAAAAGCTATGTAGTTTCCGCAAGGAAGCAGTGTTGTCATGATAAGATAGACTTCCAGAGCCAAACCTCTGATTGTTGTAAACTATTCAAAAATTGTTCTAAGCCCAGGAAGAAACGTTCATCAGGAGAGAAAAAATACGGTTACAGTTGTTCTACATAATTAACCCACGTTATGTATCCCCCCCCCCCTTTTCAACATTAAGAATTTGAATTTCGACAAAAAAACCCACAGACTAAGGAACTAAAACAATACTTTGATTTAGAATGTTGAGGTTGATACGCATGAACAGCAGCTGGCCAACGATTTGCTTCTTCTTCTTCTTTTATCCCGTGGTTGGGGCAACCGTTGGGGCATCACTGCATTGGAAAACCAGCTCTCGCCATCTATTTTTGTCCTCTGCTCTCCTCAGATTGTCTCCCAT